AATTTCTTTTTTTTTTTCCTTTGAAGACATTTCACTTCCCGCCCAAGAAGGTTCTTCAGCTCTGTCAGCTAAAGTTTTTCTTTGGATGAGAAGCGAAAACGTCTTCGAAGGAAAAAAAAAATACCAAGAAAGTCCAGTTGCCAGACTTTTCAGTTCCTGAAAAAAAAAAGCACCTTTGGGACATCCGTAGTAAAGTTCTCACCTCAAGCAAGGGTTTGTTCTCTGCAAGCTAATTTGGGATAGATCTTTACGTCTGACTGCCCTTGCAAACTCTTCCTGCCCTGATGGCATGTGGTTTTGTATGCAAAATCCAGTTTCTTCCTGAAAAAAAGAAGCACCATTGCAATAATAACCATGACCTGGATGTCTGAGAATCTCGACCGACTTTTGCAACAGATGCCCCAAGAATTCTGCTTCTCCCTAAGCCAGTGTTTCTCAAGGTTGAGAAACCTTTGCCAAGGTTGAGAAACACTGCCCTAAGCAATAAGCAATGCAGGCAGGGGCTAGAAAAAGCCATGCATCGTTCCAGAGGCAAATAGGAAACCTCTTTTCTAAGATTCCCCCCACCCTTCACCTCCCCCCCCCCAGAATTGGGTAGGTATTTGGGGGTGTCTCTTTTATAAACCTTGATCGGCCACGAACCGGTTGTTAATACGACCCTCTCGCTCTCCGAGAGCCGTATTTAAACAACCTGCACATCCCAAAAAAAGCTTTAGACGGGAGTAACCAAAAGGGAAGGGAACCACACTCACTCATTCATTCATTCAGCCACTCTCTTTGCCTTTGCAAAAGCCAGATTTACTCACAGGGAACTGGATTTCTTCAGCTGCTCCCAAACGCCTCCGGCTTCAAACGCTTTGAAAGAGGCTGCGCGAAATGGGCAGCGAGGAAGCCAGCTTGGCGCCTCTGGCAGGCACATCTGTTTTCGAGAGCGAGGAGAAAGGTCGCCTCGGTCAAGCTCCTCCCGCGCACCTTTTGCCCTTAAGAAAACAGCCGCCTTCGGAGCTTTTCAATGGATGTGAAGCAAAGCTGCCCTCAACCCCAATGGCCGCCGCTCCCTTCCCGTTAGGGCATCCGCCCCTCGCTAAAATGGCTGACTTGAAAGGCTTGTTTCAACGGGGCTGAGGCCAAAATAGCTGCCCGTTGCAAAGATGGAGGCTGCTTCGTAGACCTACGCGGAGAAGCGCCTTTTTTTGCCGGCACGTGGTTTGCTTTTCCCGGGCTTGATGAAACAGAGGGAGCGAAGGTTGCGAGGACGTGGGCTGGGACGGGGAAGACGGAGAGAAGGAAGCAAATGGGGAAAAATTAACACAAGTAACACAGTGGATGTTCAAAGCCGAGTTGTCTTAAGTTTCTCAAACTCTTTTGATCAACAACCGGTCGTGGCAATAAGCGTCCTGTTATATCAAACTAGCTCATTGGTGTTTCTCTCTCCTGTATTTTAATTTTCATGTTTTTGTTTTAGAAGGTCTGGTAGCCCACTGTTAAAAGGAACATGTTTATTTATCTGTCAAATATGCCATTCCAATAATTTCAGCATCAATTAACACAGGGATACTTATTTAGTAGATTGACAGCCCACATTTATTTTTATACAACCTAGGAAGTATGCATAATTGGTCCTACCTCCTATTTCCCCACAACAACAGTCCTGTGAGGTGGGTTTGGCGGAGACAGAAAGTCAGATACTGACTTTTACCCAGTTGAGAGTGTCCAGATGGGTTCCACCACAAAACCGCGTTCGACTAAAGGGCGCTCGACGAAACCGCGTAGCTGACGTCATCACAGCGCGACGAAAACA